CGGGGCGGCGTCGTTCCTGGTAACTGTGCTGGGACCGCAATCGGATCCCGGGATAGGGGCGGGGGAGACAAAGCCCGGTGGGGACTTGGGACAAACCGGCCGCCTGCCCAGAGCTCGCCAATCGACCTAACACGGGGCTCCGAGGTGACAAGAGATGCACAGGTAAGGTCGCCCCCGGGACAGGGCAGCGTCAGGAGAGGGTCCCCGCCCAGGCTTCAGCCCCGAACCACGCGGACTGGGATGGGTTAATCGGGCCAGATAGTCGGGGCTTCCTCGGGATCCCCAAACTAGCTTAATGGAAAATGGTCGAGAGCGGCGCCCCCCGAAGGGGATCTTCCCCTCTCTTTGTGTGATGCGCTAGAGGCGCGAACACAACTAGAGGGAAAAGGGGCGCTCGGGGGATCCAGGGACAACCTCCCCAAAGAGTCCGAGGTCTCGGGGCGCTTAGGAGGTAGGGAGCGCATTCTCTTCCCCGCTAGGGCCTCGGACCCCTGGAGGAAAGCAGGTGGTGATCACCAGGCTGCCTAGGAAGGGGCGACGTGGAACCTGGGGTGGGGCAGGGTCCTCCCAGCCCACGCGCGGACCCGCATTGTTCTAGGGGCTGTGAGAGGGGTGGGGACAGCCCTCAAGGAACTGGAAAGTGGGCTCCACATCGCCCTCCCCCAGGTCAGATTATGTTAGATTCTCTGAGTCGCAGTCGGCAGCCCCAGGTAGGGGCTTAGGCCAGTCCCTGGGAGTATCTCCAACCGCTGGGGCGCAGCCCCCCGAGTCCCAAGGTCTCACCTGCGTGGGTAGGAGCAGCGCGAGAAGCAGCAGCCCCAGCCCGAGCCTGGCTACCATGGCTCTGCCCATGTCCGCTCCGTCGGTGCGCCGCGAGTCTCGCTGGATGCCGGGTGCGTAGAGAACCACTGGCTCCGCGCTGGCGAAGGCAAAGTGGGGAGCGCGGTCCGCTGGAGGGACCTTATATACCAGGACAATAGCCGTGACGTGGCGCCGCCCGCCCACCTACCCGAGCTCCCCTCCTC